ACTTGGATTTAGCCAGTCAACCAACCACAATCAAGGATTTAGCCAGTCAACCAACCACAATCAAGTAACTGATTAAAACATGAACTTTTATAAGTGAGATGAGTGAGTCTCCAGCTGAATGGGTGAAGGTTGATAGTAATGTAAACGTTATTATAATGTATATAATAATAAGAAAAAAGACATAGACATATAAAGGTTAGAATTTAGTCTATCTTAGTATTCAGGAAAAAATTATGTTCTTAGTACGAAAATTAAGAAGTAATCCTTTATCTCCCTTGTTTCTTTAGCGTTCGCTAGTAGTAACGGTGTCTCCTGAGCCTCAAGGAGTAACGATTTCCTCTCGTTCTGCAGAAATTTCTCCTTCATGGCACTTGCTCAGTGAAAGGGTATAACGCATGGTGATAACAGTGTCTGCGCTCATGGCAACGAAAGTTAGGTACAGTTAAACTAACACAACTTTGGTATCAAGAATGTATAAGTCATCACATTTATGCGGTTTATTTTATAGGAAATGGAATGTAATACTAGGTACGTTTCGTGTTCTTGATTTAAAGAATTTATTTGATTTAAACAGTAAGGCGGAATGTTAAACATATATCACCAATTCTGTTCTCGTAATCTATTAAATATTGTTTGGGATGGTTGCTATGGAATTTTTTAGGTTTTATTGAAATGGAAATAATTAAAAATAAACAGATCTATGAGCATATTATAGTCAAGTTATTTTTTGTTGTTTGCGCTGTTATTGCTTTTTTATATATTTTAATATTTACCTATAAATCTAATCTGATCTCTGGTTCAGTGAAAAAAAAAAGTTTTATAAAAAGATTCCAATCACTTCTTTAAACTTAGTTTGGTCTTCTGACTCTATCTTTGGATCTAATAGTAGTAGATACCTGAGGGACGTTGAAATATTTTTCAAGTTAACAAAAATATTAATAAAATATCCTTAATATTAATATAATATTAAGAAAAAGTAATTTTTGTAAACCCACGGAGCATAATGTAGTAATAAGTACTTCAATAAATTTTATTCTACCATTTCCTTAGTGAATGAATAATTACTTAATATCTTGCATAATTCTCATTAATTAATATTTAGAGGAATAATAGCAAAATGATTAAGCTGTAATTCATCATTATTATTATTATCATTTTAAACGACAGCGGTAAATTTATAATTTTATTCGTATGCTAGGCCTTACAATTTTGTTACGTCATTGAGAATAGCAATACAATATCTATTCTTGTTTCATTAAAATATTTAAACAATGGTCAAAAGTGGTTATCATATTGTTATGTGAACTCGACCACTTCTGTGTACGTGATGAAAATAGTACTAAATACCTCTCCCCTATTAACATTTATATACGAAATAAAACTAAATTGAGGCCACCTAATGGTAGACATGTATATCATTATTAATCTTAATTTACTGTGAAAGTATTAAAAAGGGTTATATGTGTAAATGCTCTCTCTGAAATTTAGAATTATTGAAAAATGTGAAAAACACATCTAGCACTGTTCGTGTAGTGTGGACTTTAGCACAAACCGATAAAGCAAAAGTGTAGTAATTAAATTGATATTAAACATTAATCAATCATCAAGTGTTGGAGGGAAGAAGAGGTCAAAACGAACCTGAAGCCTATCAGCAACAAGACTTTGTACAGGAAACCGGTGGACACATTGATGTGAAACTTGGTGTGGAGGAGAGCGTACACAGTCGTGTGTTATGTTATGAATATATCATGGTCATAATACACGGTATTTATGGGTATAAAATCCATGGTCAAATTGGCCTACCGTGTCCATCGGTTTCGCCTGAACAGCAGAACTTAAATTTAGAAACACCCGTTATATTGTCACTAGTAATTCCAAACCAAATATGATAAAAATAGGTCATTTTTACCTTGCTTCCAATAAGGGAAATATTCAATTAAAATACAAACTCATAATCAGAGATAAAAAATACACAACTCTAATTCATTACCAGGGATAATTCATTATCGCTTTTGATACCATTTATTCATAAATAACGCTTTTAAGTTTTGTTTGTTTGCTTGTTTTTAATTTCGCGCAAAGCTACACGAGGGCTATTTGCGTTAGCCGTCCCTAATTTAGCAGTGTAAGATTAGTGGGAAGGCAGCTAGTCATCACCAACTCTTGGGCTACTCTTTTACCAACGAATAGTGGGATTGACCGTCACATTATAACGCTCCCACGGCTGAAAGGGCGAGCATGTTTGGTGTGACGGGAATTCGAACCCGCGACCCTTAGATTGCGAGTCGAGCGCCCTAACCACCTGGCCAGAATAAAATAAATACCAATGACGGAACTAGTACAGTTATAACCTAAAATCAAGGTAGTTAAATATATAGTAGAATCCATAATGTTTCAGCTATATTGCACAGGGTTATAACGCTAAAAATAGGGTTTTGATACCTGTGGTGGGCATGGCACAGATATCCCATTATGTAGTTGTACGCTTAACTAGAAACGAGTAATCAAATACTGCATAGGACAATTATGTGATTGACTCGTGTTACGACAAGTAGGGCACAGTTGGTTCATTTTATACGGTCCTGTAATATTATTACATTACTTTTCACAGTGGACAAAAATATAACCATCTAGCAGTAAAACTTGTAAATTTTGTAAAATAGAAATAAGAACTACGAATAAATTAGATTACCATAAAGGTGAAGAATGATAGGAGTATTGAATTTTAAATAATGTTTATGTTTATAAAGAAAAATATTTGGTTAAATCTCTTCTGATACAGTTTTACTTTTTTTGTTTTACTGTCAATCGTTATTAATTAACAGAAAATTCGGCATTTCATTGTATGCCTATACTGTTACAGTTCTTCTGATGTTCATATGGGTCTCTAGAGCAGAGGAAGAATGCTTATGTAAGTAAGTCACTTGCTTCTTTATAAACAAGACTATTTTGTTAGTGATTACAGTGAAATCAGGTTCAGAGCGGTTAGGTCCTAGTGCTAAAGATCTACTGAGAACCAGTTTCACTTGATTTCAGGAAGAAGTACACTTATTTTGTGTATTGATTACAAACGAACGTCATATTTCACCCCGATATTATATACATCTAATTCACCAAGTAGTGGTATCATAGCGTCTTGTTTGAGAGTTTTATACATTAAAGTTTCTACATTATTATACTAATATGTTTTCAGAACATTTAGCGATTTAATATTTATTAAAACAACGTATAAACTTTTCAGGAATAAAGTATATATATTCTAAACTATATTACGATGTTTAATATTACATTACCATCTTAATTTACTATGGCCGGGTGTGACCTGGTGGTTAACGTGTCCGGACTGTGATTTCGAGGTTTGATTGTGAGTACCCAGTTTCCGCAAAATGCGCTCCGCACTTTGAGACCGTGGGTATTCTATAAAAGTAAAAGTATATTTGGTCAGACAAGAATAGTCCAAAACTTGGCAGTGAGTTGTGTTGGTTAACTGTATTCTCTCTAATCTATCAATTCAAAATTAGGGACGGCCATGCGCAGATAATTTCTGTGCTGTGTAGCTTTGATCGAAAATTCTAACGGGATGAAAACAGTTTTGTTTGTTTGTTTGAAGTTAAGCCCAAAGCTACGCAATGGGCTATCCGTGCTCTACCCACCACGGGTATCGAAACCCGGTTTCTAGCACTGTAAGTCCGCAGACATACCGCTGTGCCACTGGGAGAGGGGGCATGAAAACAGTAAATCCTTGAACTCATATTCCGGGCATACTAACCACTGGGCTACGCACAGCTTGTTTTTAACATTTTTTTATTCTTTGTTACACTAGTTAGTTTGCTAGTTTCATCAATGACGGAATATGAATCCTGAAAAGAAAGTGTTCGAATATCTATATATAAGTGTTCTTTAGCTAAGCTGTAGAGACTTTGTCAAACTCGCTAATTTATTGATTCAGACTAGAGTTTATAGCGTTCAGATATTCTTTAGGCTTAGTGTTCAAATCAAGCATAATACTTCGGGAGATAATTTATTTCTGTTTTAACAAGTTTGTTTGTTTGTAATTAAGCACAAAGCTACACAATGGGCTATTTGTGCTTTGACCACCACGGGTATCGAAACCCGGATTCTAGCGTTGTAAGTCCGCAGACATACCGCTGTGCCACTGGGGGGGGGGGCGAACAAGTTAGATAAACATGTGAAACTAAACAGGTGAAATCGTAGTTACTTTTATGTGAATATCGTGTTTTAATTCCTAGAAGATGTTAAATTCCGTAAAATTGTGGAATATACCACAAGTTAGTTCTTATATTTTAATTATTTGCATATCTTCAGTAAAGCATACCTCTGTTTTTTTTCTCAATAAGTGGGTGAGTCATCTGTCAGTTTCAAATGAATGAAGTTAAATCCAGATAAATTGAAGCCTAGTGTTGAAAGGGAGCTTGAAAATTAAAAAATGCCCATAAGTTTGAGAAGTCGTACAGAAATTTAGAGCATTTTTGGAGATCTTTCAAGGATGGCGTGGAATTTTTGATAGAGAGGCAGAAGAATACGACAAATAATTGTAATGCCAAGCTAGAAAAAAACGAACACAATACAAAAAAAAATCAGTAGAATAATAAAAACAATCAGTATTAGTATGTGGAAGTCACTTGAAAATATCGATGTCTATAAGATCGCTATAAAAAAATGATGTGGTTGAAACACTGGATAGCAAGATTGAAACTATTCAAGAAACTACATGTTTCAGGATTTCTTCTTTCTAAAGGTTGTCACAGTACACGTGGATTTTAAAACGAACACTTGTGTACGAGATTAAATAAAGACTTTGGCAGACAAGTGAATCAGTTACAGGACCAGTTTAGATGCTTGACAGTCAGACCACTTGGAACTCTGTCGGTTGCCAATGGCTTCACCAAATGACCCTCCATCATGCCATCTGGCGTTTCAGAATTCACGTGGATCACTCCTGTCCTACAGTCATGTCTCCTATAATTGGTGATACCATATCAATATACAATTCCAGGTGACCACCACCATACTATCTGGAGTTTCCAAATTCACTTTCGCTATTACCATCTTTGTAGTCATATCTTCTGTAATTGGTGGTCACTTCAAACTGTTCATCATCTCTATACATGCCTGCAAATAACTCTGGAATCACAAGGTTTGCGTGACTTTCCACTTATCAAATCCATTGAGAAAACAAAACACATTTTGATGGTAGAGTACCTTCGGAAGATGAGTTATTCATCTCGTTGTCCATCTAGAAAGACCAGCCGTAACGACACTGAACATTTTATTATAAGAAAAGTAATATAGTTATAGGTTATTAATGTTGCCTCTCTTTCTCCAGTAGTTTCGAAATAACTCACCAGAAGGCGCTATCACGAGCCATGTTCAAGAAATGGGTGAGCAGGAAAGAGAACCTTCTACAGAAAAAGTGAGCAGATGTCCTGAGCCCTGAAGTGTCCCAAGTGTTAGAGAAATGTGCATCAGATTAAAGAAAAGTAGAAACGCTACGCTGAGAGCTACTTTTCACATTTCTACAGTGTTGGAATACATCAAGTTTATTGACAAACTCTCCAAAACTTAAACTGTGGAGCCATAGGACGTTTATCTAAATTAGTTATACAAAGAAAAAAGATCTCCCGGTGGAACAACGGTAAGGCTACGGACTTACAATGCTAAAATCCGGGGTTGGATTCCCCGCGATGGTCACAGCAGATAGCGCAATGTGGCTTTGCTCTAAAACAAACAAAAAGAAAAGTTATAAAGCATTGTAAAGTCATTAGTCGCCTATTATATTTTGGGAGGGGCGTAGAAATGTATGTGTATATTAAGTATTTCAACTTTCTATTTCACATTTTAGAGACCAGAATTACTTTGCCTACGAAATAAAAAATTAGGTCAAAAGAATTTAGTGAGTCACAGATCTAGTAATTACGACTGAAATTTTTCGTGCTGCGAATCTAAACCACATAAGACCAGATGAAGAATGTTGATTTTTGTGGATTAAACTTCATATTCGAACATCTTAGCATGATACCATATGTATATATATATATATAACATTTAGGTTATTTGTTGCTATGGGTACTGATGTATAACATTTAAGATCTTTGTTACTATGGGTACTGATCTATAACACATAAGATCTTTGTTACTAAGGATGATGATTTATAACACTTAGGATCTTTGTTACTAATCAAAATCCATTATTGTGCGGGTTCAGTTGGGTTATGCGTTCACTTCTTGAGGGTTATTTGCACCAATCTTCTGATTCTTCATTCTCGCTTAATTATGTAGTTCTTTAAAACAGAAATAACTCACACATTTAACGTCAGCAATATCTCAAGTTGATGTTTCTTTCCCGATTTCTTCCACAGGATGAGGATCATTGTTACCCTAATAACAGATACAAGGATCATTGTTATCCTACTAACAGATACATCGTTACTGTCACACATTATTTCTGATTTTTGCAGTGTTGCTGTCGCCATCTTTATTAGTCCTAGATCGCTACGTAATTTTTTGCTTAATGGAGACTGGAAGATAGAACAGAAAGTTTATAGTTATGCATGGATGATCACGTAACATCCTATTGGGAGACAAGCCATAGATATGTAGATGTTGTAATACAATAAAATAAAAATCGCCACCTTTCGTTCTTTTAGATCGCTAACCGTGCAACATTGAATGTAAAATAAGCTTAGATATTGCTGTATACAACTCAAATGATTAGAATATATCAGCCGATAGCTTTGACCATCTCTGATTTAACCCATACATAACCTATATATTAGAAAACAAAATGATACTCATCTAGAGCCCCCCCCCCAAGTTACACAGCGGTATGTCTGCGGACTTACAACGCTAGAAATCCTGGTTACGATACCCGTCGTGGGCAGAGATCGATTGCCCTTTGTGTAGCTTTGTGCTTAATTATAAACAAACAATCCTCATCTTAGAAGTAAAACCATAACTGTAATTTAAGTTCTCATTTTCTTTTCTCTCTTTTTTGCATTCAACATTGAGAGAGGTCTTAAATTCCATAAGATAATACTTTAATATAAATTTTGCAGCAAATAGAATCTGATCCAATGAGCACATTATTTTGATACATTTACGTAGCAAAAGGAAAGAGAATTTGTTACGAAAAAATCAATACATTTAAAAAAGATTCGTGTGTGTATTGTGATATTTATGTTTTATAATTCGATAACTAGTTTCGTTCATTTTACAACAAATGTATTCTCTGTCATAAACTTTCTAATGCAATGATTAATTGATGATTTGCTAAGACCAATAAAGACGTCGAGATTAGGCACTCGTGTAAAAAGTAATTTTTGAGTTGAAGAAGTGTACGTAGTTTGTTGTGACATGTGTTTAAAAGTGAACGAATTATATACACACTTTGTAATATGAACTAACAACTTTTTAAACGCAGATTCCACGATTTTATGCTACGAGTGTGACTCAAGGATAGACACTCGTTGTAAAGACCCCTTCAATTTCACAACACTCAAGCCTGAGCGAGACAACCCCCCTCTTCACGAGTGTAATGGTTGCTGTGTCAAGATAGTGACGAAAAATAAAACTCGTAAGGACTCGTGTTTTTAGTTCTTTTATCGCTTTCTAACTAGAAAAATGGCCTCACGACACGTTGATATATATGTTGTTGTTTTTCCTAGATGCTTTTAAATTAACCTTGGTGACCTTGGAGGTTCTATAGAATTCAAGACGAAAGTTACAGTCTGAAAATCGATATACCAGTTATAATTAAGATAAGTAGACAATACACATCTCCCTGTGTTTGAAATACCGTTCCAAGTGTATAGAGTAGTTTAGTAACCTGCAGGGCCGCAGCCAGCATTTCGGTTTTGGAGGGGGGGGGGGGG